TAGACTATAGACTAACTACCCCACCCCTACTACTATTATGTTGTCATAGATTATAGACTAACTACCCCACCCCTATTACTACTATTATGTTGTCATAGACTATAGACTAACTACCCCACCCTCACTACTATTATGTTGTCATAGACTATAGACTAACTACCCTTCCCCTACTACTACTATGTTGTCATAGACTATAGACTAACTACCCCTCCCCTACTGCTATTATGTTATGCAATGGACTATAGTTTTTTTCAAAAATATTATAACATATAATATACTAAGGTTGGAATAAAAAATTTTCCTAAAACGCGCTATTATTATTCATAAAGTTTAACTTCCCTTGAATACTTTCAAAACAATTTTTCATTTATTTTTATTTCGTAAAGTGTATCTAAAGAAATAAATTCCTTATTTTTATAGACTTTTTCATGAAAAAATTTCAATAAAACTTCTTTCTCAAATAACTCATTATATTAAAGTTGATAAAACTTTGTCTTACCTCACTTTGACAAGAAGGAAGGCAGTACTCCTGTAAATAAAGAAGAGTTATTAGTATTTTGTAACTTCATCATTATATTAAAGTTTCTTTATAAAGTTCTTTTTTCATTTCTAGTTCGTCACTACTTTGGTTCACTGAGAAATAACACAAAAACAACAAAGAAAGCGAAGAAGAAAGAAGAGAAAGATCGCTAGAGTAAGTTTTTCTTTCGTTTCTTACCTTGCCATCGCGGTCCACAATGTGGTTACCGCASCCACAAGCAACCTTGCTTAGGTTGCATCCCATTTTACTAAATGGGGTTTTAATSAAGACCGTTCATGTAGATCTTCCCAGTTCTTTACATTTTCTCACTTTTTGCTACATTTTTGTAAGTTTTTCTCACATTTTTCACATTTTTAAAGAGCGCTCAGTTTTATACGTCCTACTCTCTCTAGTACAAAACTGAAAATGACGATCCGTGGATCTGCGACGTAATTAATTGGCTTTGTTACGTAGTCGTTACGTAGTCGTTTACGTAGTAATTAGAATTAGACGTCATAGTTTGTGAAGTTATACCGCTGATCAGGGTTTTCGTGGGCGGCBCTCTTCGCGGGGGGTAAAAAAGCAGGGAATTTATCGACGAAAAAAATTCTAATATCAAGAAAAAATTTAAAAAATGAATGAAAATAATAAACAGAAACTAAAAAAAAATGCATATACAATATTCTAGACAGTTTTAGTTAGCGGAGAATGAGATAGTTTTGGGATTTAAGTCATTTTTTGCTGAATATGACCCTATTAAACTCAACCTTCTTTTACTGAGAAAAAAAAGTTTTTTTCTTCTGTATTTAGCTAAAAATCCAAGAAACAAACAATTTCTAAACTTCTTACTAACATGATATCAATAACAGAATCAAGAAAACAAAGTTTCTTAGGAATATTTTGAAACTTTCCAAACTTTTTCTCGCTAACATTTTTTAACCAAAAGCGCTGTCAAAAAAATTACTGTTTGAATGAAAAAAAAAGTCAAAATATTCTAAATGACTTCAACTTACCTGAGAGATACCTTGAAGTAATCTTTTCCTTATCTCATTCCTTCATTTAATAATTGTTCTCCACAGCAATCTAACTCATTTGACCTGGTGCTTGCAATCCAACGGCCAAGTTTGTCCCTTTCCAAAATCGATGAGCTAGTTTTGCTTTTGTACAACTGAATCGCAAACTCGTTTTGAATTTTATATCGATAAAAATAACTAAAATCTATCACAAAATTATCATCGGTGAACATGTTGACTCAAATGAAATATTTTGCGACTCAGAGTCTCATTTTAAGCCGAAGAATTTTTTGTTTTCATTCAAAATATGTCTTGAGAATCGAGGGCTGGAAATGAACAATGTCCTTGTACTTTGCTGAACAGATCTAATTTTGAATCCTTTTTTAGTTTTAAAAGAAACCTTTAAATTGATTTTAAAATTGTCAACCATCTTAGACATGTACTCCTCTGTTTTGCAAAAACCCGCACTGCGTCTCAAATGAAATGAATCTGCACATTTTGAAGTTTTGATCGCCATTTTCCACGGACAACCTTTCGCTGTGATGATGATTTGGTAAGTRATGAAAAAGGTACCAAATTTTGGCAAAGGCGCGAAGTTCATTCAGCAAATGCGCCGAAGTAAGGGATCCCGCGCCTGTGAAATGAGAAGCTACGGGGAAATGAATGAATGAATAAATGAACTGAGGAAGGAAGAGAGAAAGAAAGAAAGAAGATGATAAATAATACCCAATATTTTAACAACAACTCGAACATATACTGCGAGATAAACCGTTTTACCAGCCATTTTATTTGCCCAAAGACCAATAATTAGTCTCTTAGTAAGTTGATACCGATAAGTAAACTTTACTTCTAGTGTTCCGCCTTAGTGTTTGACATCCATCATATTTTGAAGAAAAAAAACGTTGCAGACAAACGAACGGCAAAATACATGTTAGGACATGATTCAAAGAGGAAATAAAATACTGTTTTGTGTTTCAACTTCCTTAATTCATCGTACATGCAAGATTAATTCCCTGTCTTCAGCACGTGAAGAAACGTCTCAACGATCAGCCTTGGTAAGTCGGTGGCCATACGCCAAATGGGAAATCGTTTTCATCCGCGGGTTTTCATTAATCACATACAATTAGATTGCTTCAGTCTATATTACATGTACTTACGAAAAATGAATATATTTTGTCGTTTAAGAGCTTTAAAGCCAATTCAAACGATATGTAGACCGAGTAAAGYTGTGTTCCTTGCTTGTAGAGGCTCCTTTTCTTTCTCCTTTTTTTCGGGGAGAAGGAGAAAAAAGAAGCCCGTTTCCTTTTCCTCGAAAACCGATCCAACAAAAGAAAAAGAAAAGGAGACTTTGTCACCATGGAAAGACTGTGTTGTCATTCCTGTGTTTCTTAAGCCCCGTTTACACTGGCGATTCTTGCGGCCGAATTTTTGCTGCGATTTTTGTGGCAATTTTCGGAAGTATGAAATATTTTGTCTCATCCTTCAAAGAGACATTCGTCTAGGAAAATCTTKGTATCCTGAAAAAAACTTTACAAGTAAATTCTTTACCATTATTTATTATGGACAAAATCGCAAAATAAACGCAGCAAAAATCGCTAGTGTAAACGGGGCTTTTCGCATACTGCATGCGTAGTTCTTTCATATTCAGTTAACGCTTTTTGATCATTTGTCCTGGTTTCTGATTAGCTCAAATTCAGTTTCTCGACCATGCTTGTTAATATCCAACTGGTTTGCCTCCTTGCCAACTGGGATTTTTAAAACACTTTATGCTTCTTTGATTATTTCTTCATTTCAGCTTCATTTCAGTGTCCCCAATTAGTTGTATAAACTAAATACATCGTCACTTAAATAAAGTTATTTATTTTTTAACTTTTACCCCCGTCCGATACAGATATATGATTTTTTCAAATATAAACGATGTTAAATTTGCCTTTTTATTTACTTGTTAAGTTGTAGTCAACAAACTGCAGTCTCAACAAATACTTATCATGGCGTATTCATTCAGTTACTCTTATTTTTAGTAGGAATTATCGATGATCATTCTGTTATCAGCTATAAGTCATGACGAAATTTTTGTCAACATTATGGATTCTTTTATCCGTCGTTCATTTCTCCAGCGCAAAACCTTTGGAACATGAGGATTCAGGTATCAAGACTCAAACTTTAAATTAATAATTAGTTTTCATTTAATATTGGCAGGATTATTTATACTGAATGTTAATTGTTGTAATTTGGAAATTCCGGTTTTTGCGGAAGAAAACCGGATAACCTGAGATTTTTGTTCTGTTATCATGATTTAGACATTCCTGCCAAGAGAGGTTATGGCTCCTACTACTCCAACAGYTATTTTGACCAGATCGCTATGTCAGTCTGTGCCAGTCTTCCATCGCCGGCTGCCAAGAGAATCATCTTTCCAGTTCGTCGGAGATGTCCATCGAAAGATTCGTGTGATCAAATATGCAAGTCTCGGACCGTGATCGCGCAGCTGTACACATGGGCTAATGGCAGGTAACAACCGAGACAGTGTTCAATCTCGTACCCAGAGCATGCGTTTCTTCTGGCCTGTGGCGAAGAACGATGGCTCTGGCATAATCCGCATTTTTTTGACGCATACGCAATTTTCTAGAAGTAAAAAAATATAATCAATGAAAATCATGCTTTCAAACAAAGTTTTGTGTTTACTTACGATCACAAGTAAAAATCAGAAATCAGGAACATGTTTTTTTAATTTTTGGCAAGTGTTTGAACGCATACGCTCATGCCGGAAGTCCAAGAAATCCTGGTCTCAAAAAATGGATTATGCCAGAGCCCCCTCGTTCTTCGCCGCAGGCCAGAAGAAAGGCAGGCTCTGGGTACGAGATTGGACAGTGTTCTGTTCTAAAACGACTTCCTTCGTGCCGGTACTACGAACAAAGGGTGGTGTAGCGGTATTACTGCACATGCGTCTCACCACTGGGGTCTCGAGTTCGATGCGCGCGCGATTCTCAGACTCTCGGTATCATTGCACGGTGAGTAGAGTTTGTAAGCTAGGTCTCCTCCTTGAATGAAGGGTTTTATTCCTAGTTTTCCGAATAATTTTTCTCTCGCTCCACGAAACTTTACACGCTTTTAAAATGAAAAGTCCAGATTCCTCGTGAGTTAGCTGTGACTTGACTCTACTCACATTTATACAGGACGCTTTGCTTTTAACTAACCCACTATTTTTGTCTTTTGATTTTTTTTTCTTCTTTCTTTCTTTCTTTTCGTTTCCTTGCCCACCTTGTTCTCATTGGTTTCTTTTGTCTTGTTCTCAGTATATAAACACTCCTTTCTACCACCTCTCTCTCTCCTTTTCTCCGACAAAGGACTAGCGTCCGAAACGTCAGTAAGTTTTTTCATCTTTTCACGGTGTATAATTTACCCATTTAACATTACTGTTTCACATTTATACCGAGTCTAGTGATCGAACTCAGGCTTGGGCTTGGGCTG